CACACTTCACATGCCGTAGTGCACATTTGTGGCTGTATCCCAGCAAGCATCAGAACTAAACCGGAGAGTTTGCTGGTTAAGATGGAAGTGACGATTTGTGTACTTTATGTGATTGAGAGGTTCATTATCCTGGCATCTAATCCTTCGCTCTGTACAAGCCGACTGCTAAGCAGTATCCTATATAATCCGCTCCTCACAATAGAGCCACACAAATAGAGCAACAGTAATATCAGAAACTTAGTAGTGCTTAAAATGCATTCTATAATGCCAGTTCAATTGGAAGCCATTAGATGAATGACTGCAAGAGGATACAGTGTTTGTCATGTAATAAATAATCTTTAGTATTTTTGAAAGGATGCTTTTAAAATGGCAGATAGGATGCAGCAGGGGTCGAGGCTACTGTGAGTAATTATTTTATGGACAGTGCGTTTTTAAAGCTAGGTAGAACATGGTTTTGTGCCTTTGCGTCAAAATATGTTCAAGCCATCGATTGAATTCAAATTAAAAGGGGCAAACTTAATAGATGAACAGATATACACATTTACAATTTATAGTCTTTGTGTTATGACAAATCAGACCACAAATATTGATGACTCATCTTGCAGGTTTGTATTTTCTGTCCAATAAAATGTTCTCTATAATGAGAATGTCCTCTAAATTTAATATATCATCTGTTTTCGACAAGTAATCGAAAGTAGCAAGTCGTGGTTGGTGTGTCATGCTTTATTTCCTTTCCCAACCATCAAGTGGCAAAACAAGTGGTTTGTTTTGAATGCATCTTTACTGTTTTCATCCATGGCATAAACTACTGGCTATTTAAAAAAAAAGAAATAAGCCCTTCAATGCGTCCCTCCCTAACTTCCTGTTTCAATATCGCAAATAAGGCTGGGTATTTGTGCAGATTTCACAATTAGTTTTGATTCTGGTCTTGACTTGATTTGCTATCAATTCATTTGGATATATCAGGTACAGAGGCAACAATATGGGGAATAAACTACAGGGAACCCTGTCAGTTGGTACATTACTATATTATATTTAAAATAACCAAATGATTAAATTAAATTGCAATTTATTTTTATAATAAACACTTAAAAATATATATTTAAACATTTAAAATACATCAAAATCCACTCACCAAACAATTTCAATTTTTGTTTCTGTTTTGCTGAGAAACTGAGAAAATCTGGCAGTCTAACTGAGAAAATGATTACCCTGCGGGAGAAAATCAGTGTTTAGCATACAAATGTCCCATGCCCTTGAGCTAATTTGACATTTTCTGGACAGATGTTGTTCTGAAAAGTTCTCTGATATGCTTGCAGAATGTTGACTTGAGCATTCAGCCTGCGGTACTCATCCATTAGCATTTCCACTCTGTGTATGTTATCTTTGGCTACACCTAGTGTGCACTTAACAGTTAAAGAATGATTTATAAATGTCATAGGGTGCCATTTTTATTGTGACTGGTAAAAGTGGAGAAGCAGCAGCATGACCAATCAATTTTTCTCAGTAACAGCAGTTGTCAAATTAGATTTGTGTTGTTAGAGCTGATTACAAGCACTCCTCATACAGATCTATAATGCTTTGTGCTCTGGGCAGGATTGAGCAGGAAGGAGAAGGGGGAGCGAGGGAGGAGGCGCTGTTGAGTATGCGGTCACCTGGGGTGGCAGTGATCAACTGAAGAGAGGGGTTTTGATCGATATTGCTGAGGGGCAGAAATGCGATAAGTTCCACTGATAATTCTCTCTGCACGGCGTCTCAAGTCCCATTCATACTGTATGCTATAAACTATAGTATTCTGCAACATATTTTACTCACGGATAACAAAAAACAGACATGCTCAATGAGTGCTACCCACCGTACATGTACTTTCAATTGCACACTCGTGGTGCATAAATATTTACATTTACATTTAGTCATTTAGCAGACGCTTTTATCCAAAGCGAATTACAAATGAGGACAATGGAAGCAATCAAAATCAACAAAAGAGCAATGATATACAAGTGCTATGACAAGTCTCAGTTAGCCTAACACAATACACGTAGCAAGGTTTTTTCTTTCTTTTTTTTCCCCCCAAATATACCGTTCATGCTGATTTACTGGCTGGTATTTCACATTTTGGTATTATCAGTGATGATAATTGTCCACACTTCAAGGTTCACTGACCTCAAGGTTAGATTATTGTAATGCTTTATTGGGTGGTTGTTCTGCACGCTTAATAAATAAACTCCAGCTGGTCCAAAATGCAGCAGCTAGAGTTCTTACTAGAACCAGGAAGTATGACCATATTAGCCCGGTTCTGTCAACACTGCACTGGCTACCTATTAAACCCAGCTGGTTCAAATGCAGCAGCTACAGTTCTTACTAGAACCAGGAAGTATGACCATATTAGCCCGGTTCTGTCAACACTGCACTGGCTACCTATTAAACATCGTATAGATTTTAAAATCTTGCTTATTACTTATAAAGCCCTGAATGGTTTAGCAGTATTTGAATTAGCTCTTATTGCATTATAGTCCTCCACGTCCACTGCGTTCTCAAAACTCTGGCAATTTGATAATACCTATAATATCAAAATCAACTGCGGGCGGCAGATCCTTTTCCTATTTAGCACCCAAACTCTGGAATAACCTACCTAACATTGTTCGGGAGACAGACACACTCTGTCAGTTTAAATCTAGATTAAAGACCCATCTCTTTAACCTGGCTTACACATAACACTGAGTTGGATGATGACATCACTGAATTCAATGATGAACTGCCTTTAACTGAAAATTGAGTGTTTACTATTGTCATTTTGCATTAATGACACACTATTTTCCTAATTAATGCTGTACAGTTGCTTTGACACAATCTGTATTGTTAAAAGCGCTATATAAGTAAAGGTGACTTGACTTGACACTTGTTACCTACTCATAGTGTCAGTTTTCTACTAACAACCTTGTCAGTGAATGATCTGGACATTCATTCGTTCGTGTATTTGTTTATTTGTTTATTTATATATTTATTTTGTGATTCCTCTGAATTTTAAGTAAAAATGGTATAAAATAAACCTATTCACAGAGGTATCGTGCACCTGATCATCATCTATTATCACCGCATGGAAAAGAGCAGCTTTAACATTTGGTTCTATAGTAAAGAAAAAATCATATGTATTTGAGCTACATGAATGTGGGTAGATGATGACAGAATTTTGTATTTAATGCAGATGATTTGCAGAAGGTGTAAATTTATTAAACTCACCAAATTTATAAATGTAATTCCTGCCAATTTTTTTGTTTCATTTAAATGGCCATGACACTTTTGTCTATTAAAGGGCACCTATTATGCTTCTTTTTAAATGTGACCTTTCCTTTAGTGTTTCTGTATATGTAAATGATCTGCAATGTTACAAAACACAAAATCCACACCAAAGGGAGTTCATCTCTCAAACAGAAAATAGTTACACTTTAGAATAATGATCCATCAATAATAGGTAACTATGCAGGAAGTAATGCAGGACAAATGAGTAGTACAACCTTAAGCTAACCAATCAGTAAGTAATAGCGAATTTAGGACTGAGTTTGCTACATATTAGGTAATCAATAATTACCAAATGAGATTAAACTCATTAAGAACTATTAAAGATGCACTATGCAGGATTTTCTCACACAGTCCAACCAACAGCAGCATCACATAGGACAGAGAAGATGAATGATGATGTGCATTGCAAATATTTTTTCAAATATTGTGTTCATCATGCATGAATGACATTTTTTTATTTGTATATGAATGAACAGTTACGCTAATAATTAGATGACTGGCTGTAATTTGCAAGCGAGTTTAGTCATCTTCAGTCTAGCTTGCTAATAAACAATAATTATGTGTCATCATAGACACGTAATTACAATGCCTAGTAATTTGTCGAGTTACAGGTATCAGTAAATAAGACAACATTAGGATGCATATTGTTCTGAACAAGAGAACATAATTTTTTTTTGTCCACCATGTGCTGTTCCTAGTGTAACAAACAGTTCAATAACTGTTGCATAAAATTAATATCATGTTCATGTTGATTTTTAGAAAAACAGCACTCTTGCTTATCTTCCTATACCATATGTTCTGTGTGTGCGTGTATATATATATATATACATATATATATATATTTCTGTCATGACAACTCTCGGAGGGATTGGCATGGTAATGTACATGACAATGTTAATGTATTTGGTCTTGGCGGAATAGATCTGCTACGTTGCTGCTGCTGCGGCAGAGCAAGTACCGAGACATGTACTGCCAATACATCCACAACATGCTGCTGTGAGCACGCAGGAAATACTGCTGCT